CGTATCTAAATTTTGAAGCAAGTAAATAGTTGTATACATTGTGTTGAAATTGTATCAAAATTCGAAAATTTTACATAACGAAATTTCAACAATGGTGCCGTGGCGTCATGATGTGCTGACGTCATGGAGATGAGCACATGAAGTTACGCGGCAAAACACATAAAATTGATTTAAAATTACTAAAATGCGTGAAATATAAATAGAAAATTTGTTTATTTTGCATGTGAAATTAAAATATATTTCATTCGTGAACACCAGATATTACATTTGCACTTGTGGCTACGCCACTCGTGACAAAATTGCATCTGGTGGCCACTCAGTGAAATACAATGTATATTTCGATCGTACCTGCAAAACAAACAAATATCTTCAATATCATCTGCATGCATGATGGTCTTTCATAAACAAATGGTTTATATTTGTTCAAACATATTTACATGCTCAACAGTAATCTTGAATATTACACTTAAGACGGAGTGCATAATTTTGTATCTGTTATTCTATGATACTTATCCCCCATGTGACTGACAGGTTGTCTTTTAGGATTGAGTCATCGGATTTGCAGCCACCGTTTATCTCTGCGATATCGTATGAGGCGACTTAACAATGTTTGAATGTTACATTTTAATTTTTATTTCGCTATTTTTTTTATTTTCTACATGTATCAAATATCCGAAATCTGGCAGATTACGCACTCTATTGTCAATTTCTTACCCCCTGAATTTGTGAAATGCACTTTTCAAGATTCCATGTTTTAGAACTCTATCAATCTTGGAATATGAAGATAGATAGAAATTTCTAAAGTTCGTTAGCCATAAGTACAATGCTGGCACCGTCTGCAAGGATGTTCAGCCTGGAATTCATGTATATCTGTATTTAATTTAGTTAAATTATTTCGATTCCAGTACTGTAAAGACGCAGTGTTATTAACAGTTGCAATATTTAACAATTGCTTTTGCTCTTAGAAGTTCTATGAAAATATACAGCTATCAATCTGTCTGTGTTACTGTCGAATATGCCTTTAAAGTTTCATGTGTTATATTTTCTAAACATGGAAAAGTTATCAATGCGATAGGTACGTGCATCGAAGGAACGATTTTATTGACATACAGGTAACGTAATTTAAATCAGACGGAGTCCACCAATTCAATTTAATTTCACATTACCTGAAAATATAACGAATAACCCTTCATCTATGAACTCAACAGTGAGTGACATAACAGATTACAGTATCTAAGGGGGTTTACATGAAAATTCCACTAATAATTTATGCACAATCAGTTTGAGGAATATCTGAATAGTATGAATTACAAGGGTGATAGCCTTGAATCATGGTGCCAAGTTGGCCGCCAAAATATGAAAATTTCCATTTTCTCTCAAGTAGTTAATTTTTTGCTATTTAAACAGCTGCATATATTCTTGTACTTTTTGCGGCCATATTGGACCCCATCTTGGATTATATCAACCGAAACTTGCAAAACACCGCCTGGACTTATGACCGAAGCCCAAATTAACAATCATATACATATCTCGCTCACGTCTTGCCGAAATAATTACTGGAACATTTATGTCAACACGTGGTTGCTGAAGCTTAAAAAACCTGTAACACAATTATTTTATGGTTTTATATCATAAATATAATGTTCAAATGAAGATTTATTATTATTGTAAGTTCCAAAAAGCATTATTTGTAAAGATATTACCGAATTTACAGTTCATGTCAATATAGAAAGGTAATTGAAAATTTATTTTCTATAAAGTATGTCCTTTTTTTCAATAAGAAATGAATGCATATATTTTGATGATTACATATAATGTGGACAAATATTTACAGTACATATTTTTACATATTCTTCGATGTTCGAAAATTGTTTAAGAAGCATAATTATAAACATTCTCTTATATCTACTACATAAAATTTCACGAAGTGTGGTAACAGCCTTACATACAACATACAGGATCTTTAAAGAAAATTATGAAATGAATTAATAAGAATGTATCTCATTTCTCACGTGTACATTCATGTTATCTAAAACAACTTATAACATGCTTATCTTTCTAAAAATACTCCATGTATCAGGTGAAGCCTTCAGTGAGAATATTTTTGTTATACTGTAAACTTATATGATTAAATGTGTGAGTTATTTTTGTTTGTAAAATACTGTTTGTTTCCGTCCGGCATATTTACTACTTTCATCAAAAACATACATTGATCTTTTTATTATCTTTGTTTTTAGTTAAAGTGGACTGGTCTACAATGGGCACATTCTCCATAAATATTTCAAAAATGTATACGGGGAAGTAAAATGCTTTGTCTTGCCAGGCTAAAGACTACACCTGAACATTTAAATAAATCAAAATAAAAAACAATTAAAGTATAATTATATAGATTTCTTTATCTATCAATGAAATTTGCAGTGTCAGTTTAAGTTGGGCGCCGCCATTTTCAGTATAACTTAATGGTAATAGGCAGGGTATTCCGATAAACGAACAAGTGCAACTTTTCGAAATAATAATAATCGTAGTCGAGTGTTCCGAGTGAAAACGGATGCGATGTATGGAATATCGAAAGACACCTTTAAAACGGAAAATGAACGCTCTTTTAACCAACTTCCCCGTTCATAAGCTTTGTCTAATTTCATATTAATAAGGATGGAACTGTATTAATGCGATATTCTGTTATGTTCTTTCTTCAAATAAAAGATGTTGATAGGGTTCTAAATGTTTTAGTATGAACATTAATACGATGAATAATATTTTGTTCTTAAGGTATCAACATTTTTCCAAAGAAATATTTTATAAGAATTTCCAAAGGATACATTTAATTCTAATGTTTTTATTAATATTTATAATACTTATTTACAATGTGCATATTGTAAACCAATCCACTTATCTAAAATTCCAAATAAACATTTAATACAAACTGTCTATTTAACTTTCATATTATAGAAAGGAGAATAATATACTACCTAAATATTCCAGAATTTGAAAACCTTGAGAGTAGAAGGCTCTATTGATGATACGTCACGATTTGTGCTCTTATCTTGCTACTTGCATGTGTAATTCCTACATGCCGTATCTATTTACAAATGTTTCCAACAAGGAAGATAAATGATGCTTTTTGTCTAGACTGATTAGAATTTGAAAATAACCGAAAAAGAAAAACCCGAAGAAAATAGTATTCCACTGTTTTGTATGCAAAGGAATTTTCCGAGGGTTCTTCCAAAAAGTCTTTAGCAATACGTTTAATTGTACTCCTTTTCGTTATCAAGTCTGCGAGGAAACAAAAGAACTGATATAATATAATGTTAGACAAGTATGGAAACTGACCTATTTTCCTATATTTTCTTTTCCATTTTGTCAGACGACAGTAAACATCCGGGAGCGCTTGTTCGTCTCCTATTGAAGAATCGGTTAACGTAAAATTGTAATGTCGTAAAATTACGGTACGTCCCGTTTAGTGAAACGCAACTAACGTTATATTACGTTTAGCGTTAGTCCAAATTTAAGTTAAAAGATACTTCTTACGGAATGTAGGCTTCGCCGTATAAACATCATTATACAAAAAGTTCATGCATACTACTATATACAAGAAGCTTTTCCCCTTGAATGTATATTTCATAGTCATGGGGAATATATGAGGATTTTCATCCAACATATAATGAATAGCACATATCTAGTTAGACCGATGAACAATCCGATCTGGCTAATTGTTTTTGACAAAGGCTGTGCTGTTCTGTTTTGATTTTAGCATTGTTTGATAAAACATAGCTTAAACTCACATTTTTATGTAACAATTGCTGAATAAGTAGTCATTTATCACAAGTTTAACATCGATAGAACCCTCTTTCAAGTGCTTGTGTCTAATTTTCTTTACATAATACGTGCCTTTGTAGCAAATTATTTTAAATACGTAGGTACGTTTAAGATATAATTAAGACCGCCTTTAGTTGTCTAACATAATGGAATCCTACTTTTGTGTTCTTATGTGTTTATTTACAGTGGTGAACAGTACTGACCTCGAACCTAAGTGTTTTTCAAGACATGACTATGATGAAAAGATGCTTCTAAAACAACTGAGATTTGAAGACAAGATTAGAAAATTTGAAAATGAAATCAAAGAAATGAAGGACACTTTGGTATCAGAGCAAGCACAACGGGCAACACTGTTTACAATGAACTCAATGAATATAGGAAAAGAAGTACGGAAGAGGAAATAAGACAACGGAACATTACAACAACGTTACAAGAATTAGTAACACAGGAAGAAAATATGTTGAACAAAACAGTGTGGAGGCTAGCAGGAGTGCTACATAACGAAGTAAAGAATGCCGAAAAAAAAGTAAACGAAACAGTGCGGAAACTTGCCATTTATAACTTATTATGTATCACTTATTATTTAATTCAGTCGTATATCTCATTTAAAAGCTGTGTATGTTGTAGTCTAATGTATATTATATAATGTATGCAATAAATAAGTTTAAAATATAAATAATTATTAAATTATTATGTAACTAAGATATATTCGACTGAAATAAGTAATAAGTGATAAATAATACTAGTAAGTTAAAAATGATAAGTAATATATTATAATTGATAATTATGTTAAACTTATTTTCGTAAAAAATAATAAGTAATAAATAATAATTTCCTTCCATGGCTTCCGCATTATATTATTAGTTATAAAGATCGTTGACAGGTTATATGGCCCTATATAAACGGCTATTTGTAAATATAACCCGAGCCGTTAGCCCATTACAATCTTAGGAGAAAATATTCTATCCTAATTATCTTCTCGTAACTATATCAGCGAGCAAACATAAGGGTAGTAGTCAATTGATGCGATACTACTATTGAACAAGTGCATGCAAGGATCTTTCCACTGTTGTAACATGTTGTTGAAATATTATTCCGTCGTGATACTGTGTTTTTCGGTCGTCAAAGGAGAACATGAAGAACCTTAATGTTTTTCGAGGTTTGACTATGACGAGAAACTGTTAATGAAATTGTTAGGATTTGAAGACAAAGTACAGAAATTTGAGGATTTTATTAATGGAATTAAGGCACGAGAAGCCAAGGAAAAGGAGAAACGCGATGAATTGTTTGCCGCAGAGTTAGAGAAAGCTAAAAACTTTCAAGAATTCATGAAAGAGCTAAATTCGAAAGAGGAAAAAGAAACAGAAGAACGATCTAAGTTGTTTGCCGCAGAGTTACACAAACTAGAGCAATACAATAAAGAGAATGCGAAAGAAGTCAAACGACAGAAAAATGTGACGTCAGAAATGCTTGAAAGTGTGGCGAATTCTAAGATGGAGTTTGAAAATGTTCATAAACAAATAAATGAGAGAATGAAAGGTCAGTTCCACATAAAGTATTACAGAAATGAATATCACATTATTAATGTTACTGTAAATAAGTGAAATGGTCGTCCAGCTTAGCAAATCTTACTATAACAAATGCTGGAATTATAACATTTTTATATTAAATTTATCTTTAATTATTCTTGTTATTGCAAATAAGTGATATTGTCTTAATATAAACGGTCTAGCTTAGCAAATTCTACTAAGGCAATTGGTGCAAAAAGTAACATTTTTTTATATTAAATCTATCTATTATAAATTATATATAAACGTCAACAATATTCTGAATAATAATGTTAAAACCTGGATAAAACGCGTGAGTCTATTGTACGAGCTAACATAGTGTAATATTTTCTGTTTTTTTTGTTTTGTTTTTTTGTATATAAGTAATTTCAATTGACAAAGAAAGGTAGAATTGTAAATTATTAGCACGCCTTATATGTCTCTGTATGTTATACAAGAGGAAGCAGTCAACAGTTTTACAAGCTTCTCGACAAACAAATGATATCAGCACAATCAAAACCTTGCATACAATAGAGAAAAACAGAATCCCTAAAGAAAGCACAAAACGACCAAATTGAAATGTTGCAGGCTCGGTTTGATTGAGCCTCTTCATGAGCAGCACTGAGAGATGCAAGTTTTCGTCCATGCCCACCTGGCGCCGACTTTAGCAAAATTCAACATTTAAACATGAAAATATGTCTGTAGTCTGTTATTACAAGATTCAAGATTAAAAAGATTAACAAAGAACTTAAAAAATTGTGTTTTAAGGCATCAGGCCATATATACATACACCATTTTAATATGATTCCGTCGCCTTTACAATATTTAATATAATTGTTAACAAACACTAATTGTTTATATTGTCCATTAAAACATATACATAAAACACAAGCTTCCTTAATGAGGTTATATCACGTGTACTTATCAATATATAAAATCCTGCAATTCTTTTCCTCCAAATTACCAATTGAATTAATATGTTTTGCAAATATGATTGTATATTTGACACAATTATAAACAAAGCCTGGAACCCCTATGTTATCATATCAAGTTGTACACAAACGTTCTTTTTTCGGGATATTTTTGTGTCTGCCTATGATTATTGATGTCACCAAGTTCCTGAGATATCCAGACAAAACCAATACGATACTTAAACAGTACATGTTTTGTTTTGGTGACCCAGTATATTCGACCTACTTTGTATAGTGACTTCGAAATTAAATTAAATAAAACTTTCTTTTAACGATATCTACACAAAGATCAGACGTGACTGTACAAAAACAGCTTTTGTCATATTAAAAAAATACTTAAGGGCAATGTTTCATATTCTCCTTAAACCAATTAATAATACACGCCTGACATCGTTTTTCATTTTGACTGTTGTCTTCTATTATTGAAGTCCTACAGAAACATTAAGGCAGGTATATGTATTTTAGTCTGCACTGAATTTTCCTTCTCGGTCACATTATACAATCTGAAAATAACAAGAGTAAGGGTGTACTTGATCCGTTTCCTTTACTATTTTAAGTCTTCTTCATACCCTTTATTTTAGAAGAAGCTCCATAAAAAATATATTTAAATCCAACAAGCACTCTCTTAAAAATGTGGCTATCACCACTTAAATAAATTTGGCTAAGTAGCTGAAACACACCACTAGCAAGGGAAACTTAAATTATAGCAACTTTTAATATTATGAAGCTATCAATTTCAATTTCAGAACTGTCTCTCATGTGTTAATGTGACCTTAAAAAAAGTTGGCAAATTCGAAACTTGCCAAATGAAACTATATACTGCCTCTTGATGTAAAACGTTTACGTCAGCTTACAAACTGGTTGTCGGATTTTATCAAAACTATTATCAATAATTCATTCATTATTATTATCAAGGTAAATATACTACGTGACTTTTTGTGTGTGGCAGAAAACCAGTACAAAAGACGGTAGTAGTTTTCATCATGACTTTTTGATTGTTCCATTTTATCATATGGAATAAATTGTAGAGTCCGCTTATTCTAGTTATTAAACCCTACATAGGAGTTTTCCTCGGGAAAAATAATATTTTTCCGTTAAGTGAAGTCGTGTGAATTTCTGAACGCCATACTTACGGTTACACTTTACTAAGATATTACTTACTTTTTCACCCACAAACACTTGTTTAAGAGTAGAAGTAATTACCTGAACCTTTTTATTTCTATCTGCTTTTCAGTCATGCGCAGATCTCTACTAAAGTCACGTGGTATAGGCATCATTTGATTTTGACAAATAAAAACAACAAATATTTGAGATAAGATAACTTTTAATTTATAAACTGAGTACATGTTCATCAGTACCTACCATGATGTCAAATGTTATGCCTTTCGTCTTGTGCAGTATAACATCTACATTATAATAGTTCTCAACTGAAGCTTTAAAGTAATGTATGTTATAAGAAAACATTCATCTAAATGCACATTTTCATCTGTCTTATAAACTTATATCTAACTATTCTGTCGTTTTAGGAAAAGTTGTGGCTTTCACAGTGACCACACCTAAGATGGGTGCTACATCATCATCTATGTCTTTTGAAACTGTCATTACAAACGACGGGAACGGGTTTGATACATCGACTGGCAAGTTCACATGTCCTGTTAGCGGGCTTTACTACTTTTCTTTACACATCATTAAAAAACGGGCATCCGATGCCGACACTGCTGGATGTAACATTTATCTGAACGGATCAAGTAAAGTGAGAGCTTATATAGATCCACAGGACGGAACAAATGGTGCGGACAGCGGAAGTTACGGAGTTTCGACATCGGTGTATTTAAATCTGAATGTTGGGGATGTAGTGACCATTGAGAACTGTAGTGGAACCATACCAGACCGAGTTGAATCGTGGACGACATTCAGTGGTTATTTAGAAAGACAAATTTAAAAACTAAAACATAATAATAGTACATATATGTTTTCTAGTATTTGTGTGGCAGAATTTCGTGATTTCTTCCCGTGCATAAAACGCCGGTTGACAAAGAAATGTGTATAACCACGGACTGTAATTGTCATAAGTCCGTGGTATAACTAAGTTTTGAATAATAATACTTTTTGCGAGTGTTTAAGTTGTTAGTTGGTTGATTGAATACTATAATGTTCAGGCATAAGTTGAATTTTAGATACATTGTGTATTTTATTTGATAAAACTGTAAAGTTAAAATTTATTTTAAATACATTATATATTTAATTTGATAACGCTTTAAAGTCACGATTTATTCCTAATACATTGTGCAATATCTTCCTTAAAGCTATAAAGTCAAAATTTATTCCTTGATACATTGTGTTTTGATTCGGTAAATCTGTAAAGTCAAAGTTTATTCCTAGATACATTGCGTAATTCATTCGATACAACTTTAAAGTCAAGATTGAAATGCATAAGGTTCTTTATTGGATAAAGATTGATTCTGAAAAACATTGTGTATTTTATTCAAAAAATCTTTAACGTCGAAAGTTTTGCAAGGTATTCATCTTGTATAAACTTTGGAATGTTGGATAGAAAAAAAAATAGCTTTATTTTGTCCACATTCAAAACATCATTTAATAATGGAATGGTCCGAATAGTTTTGAATCATTATACTAATAAATATCAATTATATTAATAAGCGTTTAATAGCTTCTAGACGCGCTGTATTTGATGGCATGGAAAACAAATTAATAAACAGAAAAATATATTTATCAATTATCAATATTTTTGTAATTACATGATTAATTTATCAAAATACATAATTAATGTGAATGACAATATCAGACATTTTAAATTAGTTCATCATTATATGTGTCCATTTGCGTTTATTCAAGTTCCCTGAAACACCTTTATGCATTTTTGATATTTTAAATTAGGAAAAAAAAACAAATTGCAGTATACATTTTTCAGAATATACAAATTAAATATCGTTCCCGTAAGGACGTTTTGTTGATGTAAAATAGGAAATAAGAATCAAATTGAAAAGTCTAAATGTTTTGATTTTGTTGTATTTTTCATTTTTTTTCTTTGTTCGAGAAGAAGCTGTTTTCACTCAGATGTATAGAGTTTCCACTTTTCAGTATTGTGTGTATTTAACTTATACCCGCAATGAATACTTGTTCTCTGACTGATTTGACACTCTCAGTTGAGTTCTGTATACAGGATTGCTTTTCATCATAGTGTTTTATATATTTACGCATACATTTTTTATGGTAAAATAGATTTGCACCAAAACACTATATTCATCTTGTAAATTACATGTAAAGCACGACAAACAAATGTTTATCTCTTTTATTGTATTGCTGATCGTAAGTTTGTGATCTATTATCTTAATCAAAATACGACTGAAAGTGACTGTATCTCCACTGACAAAGTTTTTAAAAACACAGCTGCTGCAGTTAAAGGGCGTAATAGCAGTTCCGGTGCCAAAGTAATTAATGAGAGGCGAAGGGAGATCAACACGGTTTCTTTCAATGTCTTGAAGATATATAAGACACACTAATGAATTAAGCGATTCATTCAATGCATTTGTCATTGAGCCAAATACTATACATCGGATAGTAGAGTATAGCTAGTCTTGATTCTTAAAACTGACCCCGGGTCTAGAAATTTATGATCATATTATTATATTTTATATCGTATGAGAATGATTAAGACGTAATCATAGGGAGCCAACTTCATATGGTTCACCGAAATGTGCATCAGTTAGAAATATCTGTCGTTTTCCAGTTAAACATGATTGTGATGGTTAAACATCCAGATTAGGACGCCATTTTTAGGAAATTGAACGGTACTTTTTCAATTTTGAATTGTATTTTGTTAATATGAACTATCATTGAAAGAAAAATCGAAAAGCTTTTTGACCCTAAACCGTATTGATGTAGAACATACTCACCTTGTTCGTCCTTGTTCGGTCTGGATTTTTTAGCAACGAAAGAAGATAATTATGAGCATAATTTACATTGTGATCAATATGTGGAAACGTGTGCCATATTCAAACAGAAAAATATGCTATTAAACTGAGAATATCTTTTTTTCGACAAATACAAATTGGATTAGTAGTTAACATGCATTATGAGCAAGGGACAAATATAAAATGGAAGCTTAACATGTTCAACGGTTGACCTGTATAAATAAAATAATTTAAGTTTAATACTATTTTAAAAATATGTTGTTGTTATTTGTTGTGTTTTTTTTTCACACGTAATCAATATTAATTTAATTTTAATCTAATTTATAGTTATATTTGTGTTAGCTTACGCAGATAACTTTGCGATCTCTTGTGACAAACACTTTCAATCGGTAACGCTTGATGAATTTTAATATCCACTTCACATGACTGTTTAAACAAAATAAAAATGCATTATGTGCATGTTCGTACATTTAATGCTGATTTTATTTTGTGCGATACGGAATCTATATATGTTTAGTCGCTGGAAGGGTCAAACATGTGCTTGGCCATGTTTAAACAAATGATTAAAAGCATAATGATGTTTAACAACTAAAGACAGTAGTGCTAAATGTGCAATAATGTGACGTAAAATTTAAACAAAGTGGTATTTTGACTTCAATACAAAATATTAGTTCAGTTTAATAATACCGATTGCAAACTGAGCAGAAGAAGTAAAAGCCGATTCATTTAAATGGCAAATGAGTATTTTGGAGACTGTAACATGATTTCAAAAATAAAATTTTCGAAAAAAGATTGAAAGCATTTCTGAGGTATAATGAGCCTTTAACATAATATGTTTAAGGTGCCAGTAGATATCTATATGTTCAAGTTGTATAGGGAGTGCACGGTTTGTTTTTGTTTTTTGTTTTTTCTTGTATTGTTTTTAGTGTCGTTTTTTTATTGGTTGGGTTTTACGTCGCATCAACACAGACTATGTCGACTTTCCAGCTTTACTGGTCAGGTGCCATTCCGTGCATTATTTCATGCACCTGAGTAGAACCATAGACGTTCCGAAAACTAGCTAGCTTACATGTTTAAATCTAAAGCCACTACTGGTACTTGATCAACGGACACCCACTAACATTTTATGTTACTGTAAATCAGCATTCACCGAAAATGGATTACTCTATTACGGTATGTTACTCTTCCGTGCAAAAATTCGATATAAATTTCGGTAACTTCGCTTTGTAAACATTTCAGTTTACAGTTGCTGATAAAAACTCATGTTGAGGATATATTTTTCGTTTCTGAAGTATAATGTGCGTTTAAATGAACATAAAAGCACGCTATTAGTATGTTTAACACTTTCACTCTAATTTTTGATCAACATTTAATTATGAATAATCTTTTAAATAATGGACATCATTATTTTATTCAAGGTATGTATTGAGTATAAAAGAGTAAGAGGTTTTTATTATGATTACTTGATCTCGGTACCAACACAGGACTTTTCGTGCCTAAATTCTTATCGCAAATCTTGAATGAGGAAATTTCTAGAAACGGATATGACTGAATCGCCTTAAAAGAAAGTAAAAGATAGGTTAAAAGCAAAAGTCCCTTAAGCGCACGGTTTCAACATTTTTGATATCATTATACAAATATGGATCTCTTCAGCACATATGGAACTCAAATGCAATTTTGAGCAGCGTTTCTCTTCGTTTGTAGCCAAATCTCAACAAATGTTTAACTTAGCATTTGTCTGAATGTTAAGCATCGGTCTGTAGTGAGATTTCGTAATATCTCTGTTTTTTTGAGTCCGTTTAGTGACATTATCTTCATTCACATAGCATGTTTTGGACACCCCAGAACCCACGACGGAAAGAATATCTCCATATAGACTGCATAGAAATCCAAAACAAAAATGGATAATATAGAGGAGAGTCAGGAGTCTTCGAAATAGCCCACTTGCCCGAATCCCGAGACAAGGTAAATTACTGACGGCAGGTTAAAATCATAACCTGTCTGCCCGATTGGGCAAGTTAAAATTTTATTGATACTATTTAATTAAAAATAAAACACTGACATACATATACATCTCCAGTAAAATCCAAATCTATAATTTTGGAAGTCGCGCATGTGAACACGTTTATGTCACAAGCAGATTAAAAAGTTAACAGGTGGTCCTTAAATATTTGGAAATGGGTACCTCTGCTTCGTCACAGCTACCGTGGAATTAACACATAATGGTGTCGGAAATGTAGTTGATGTTCTTGAAGTCAACCTTTTCATTCCTATTGACTTCTTCCAGACATTTTCATCTTCCGAGTGTATTTCCCATTTCCTTTCCTTTTCCTTTTAGAAAATAACTGCACAAGGAACAGCTCATCTTTTTTTTCTGAGCAAGGTAATTTGGATTCGGGATGGATGAAAATCCATGATGTCTGCCCGAAGGAGCAAGTTCTTGAAATAACAAATGTGCATGAAAGTATTTAAGTAAATATTAAATTTAATATTACTATCATAGATAATATAAATTATTTGAACAATGTTAATATAAATATTTCAATATATGCATTCAATATTGATGGAATGTATTAAATTCATAAAACTTTAAAATTTGACATTTTTCACATGTACATAAACCATTATGAGTATTCTGTTTTAAATCATGTAACGTACGTCTTTCAGTTGAATAGTGTGATCTTCAGCAATGTAGAAATTTAGTAGTACCCCACCCACTTACGTTTTTAATAAATTTAAGAAAGGTAAAAGTAGTTTCTTTAAAAAAAAAAAAAACGTTTTGATTACTTTATGTTATTATAGTGATAGATTAAGGTATATTTTAATATATATTGTACGAGCTACATACAGCTGATTGGAAAATTGTATGTGTGTATTATTTTAAGTTCAAATTAGGAAAATAAATACAATGATACCCATATAATTTTATATGATTTCAATTTTTGAAAACATTCCCCAATTTAGATTTTTCTAGACTTTTGATATGTTTTACAATATAGGTCTGGAGTTTCAAAACACTCAACACATTTTCTGTTGCAATTTGTTTGAGGTTTGACTGTATTTTGAGCTTGACTTTACTGTGCTTCAAAACCTTGCAATTATATTTTCTTGTATCAATCAAAAGTGGGATATCAGAACCCTATCCTAGGGGGTCAGAAATAAGAACATCAACATAATATACAAAGAAAGACTACAACCTGCCCTACTGCAATCATTATAATTTAGACTAGCTTATTGACACGTTATTTATTAGTTAATAAAGTGAAAGATAAAATAACGAAGAATATGATATTTAAACATGGCATTATTGCTATAACCCTTAAAGCAAAACACTAAAATATCCCCATTGCTTATGGACGAATACATGTTTACAGGCCGGTTTCTAATAATCTGCTTTTGTCGTATAGTTGATTGCACAGGTAAATTGGTCATACATGTTATATTCAAAAAGAATGACAACAAGAAGATCTTACAAGTGCATATTTTATTTCATAATGCGAACATGACATTGATTTATGAATATTATAGTACAAGATACATACAGACTGGGCTTAATAGTAATAATATGTCCAAATGGTAGATAACGTGTTTGGGAGTCGGCTAGATTTCATAACATTTTATGTGGTAGCTGTCATGATATATATTGGGCTAGAGATTCAGTCTAGCAGTTCGAATTTGGTATTTCACTTGTATACTTGAGTATTTGTACATGTATATTAAAAGTATGAAACATCTGTGAGTTCTCTCTCCGTTATGCGACACTTTACCAGTAGACTGTCTAAGCGTTTATCTGCCATTTATCTGACTGGGTACTATAGTAATGTGACGGACACGCATCTTATACTTCATATACTTCATTTGATTACCTCCCCTTTAGTATGATTTCACCATTTGTATATAAAAACGATTTATTTTGTATATGAAAATATCAGGATATAAACAATAGATAATGTAGTATATAATTATACTTTTGTTATGATATACATTTAAAGAATTGCCCAGTGTGTTTATCAATCGAATTGTTTATCTATTAGTTGTATGGTGTCCAAGTAACAAACGCTTTTAATTAAAATCAGTATCAAGAAACTTTTCATTATATTAGCCAATCAAAATCATTGTTTTACTCACTGCGGGGATGATGCATTACCAACGTTTATTAGAGCGTGCGCAATATTGAGAATTTAGTTTTGGCTCCGTACGGTGAAGATCCAAGTGATAATTATATTAATCGCACACCCGTGCCGATTTTGCGACTTTGTAAATATGGTATAGCACGGCCGTGCATATATTTTTGACGTGACGTCATTAGCGCTATACAAACATAGTGTAAAGACGCGCTAAATGTTAGTGTTATCCTATAGGCGCGACAATGAAAAATGAACCTTATTTCACTTTAATCGGTATTTATTTTGGGTATGTAATAAATAGAATATTGAATGAGTGTAAGTTCATTACTGAATTTATTAAACTCGTTGAGCCAGAGGCTGGCATAATATAATTTTATTCAACTCGTGCAATAAACTCAGCAAAACCTCTTGGGCAAATGTTTTAAATGGGACAGTTTATTTTGGAAATATCATTTTAAAGGATAAATTTTTAAAGGGAATTTTGTATTGAGTTTTTAAAGAGAGAAATAAATTTGTGTTAGATTTAGGAATATAAATTTTGTTTAAAGTTATATTGTTTAGTTGTTTCTTGATAATTGTTGTTTCGGAAAATTTAATTATTAGTTGAAGATTGTTTTAGCAATAGATAAATAATCAACAGCTAGTTACACGCTACAGATATATTTCAAGCGAATTATTCCATGTATTATGAACACAGTCACTCGGTTTCAAGACAGTGGTCTATAACGAAGGGTGGCAATCAACATACGCATCCCAAACAAAACTGAGCAACACAGGACCGTCGGCAAGAGTGCTGAGGAGGAGATAGGGACAGTTCTTCAGATATCTAAAATCGAAACATAAATCTTGATGGTATGATGGCTGATTTGTGTCATTCGTGTTTTCGCCACGCGACCCAGCCAAGCGAGAATTAGCTAGTTAAAATGGCGGGTTGGCGGAGCGAGCGGGGGGCGTGGGGCGAAGCTTAAAAAATAAAAATTCGCTCCTTGCCTCCGCTAATAAGCGTGTTTTGGCTCCGAGAGCCTGCCAATGACGCCGACGCCGACGATAAAAGAACCCCTTTATGTTGCCTTTTGAAGGCGACACAAAACAGACACACATGTCACATCCGTGCCACCGTAAAAGTTACCTTAAACATGTTAAATGTTCATTTCCATTTTGTTCTTGTTTATAATGCTTGTTAACTACCAATGTATTTTGAAATGATTCTCAGTATAAGAGCATATATACTGTGAAGTTAAAATGATGCTGTTAATCGTACCAACACGATTTGGTTTCAATAGTTCAAAATAAAAATATAGCAGATACCTGAGTAGCAATGCCAGGTTGTTTCATATATGCTACACACATGCCAAGTTAAATATCAAAAGGTTAAAGTTTACTGAAGTAATTGAGTAGAGGCTGAAAAATGTATTGTAAGCAAGTGACCTTGACCTTGCTCCCAGATATTAAAGTAGCAATTCCAAGCTGCATTTCAATATAAAGTACCCACACAGTAAGTTTGGCGTCAAAGGGTCAAATTAAATTCAAGTTATTAGAAAAACTGAATTTCATTTTTTACGCAACAGTGACCTTGACCTTGTTTACAGACACCTAGGTAGCAATCCCGAGTTGTGTCTTGAAATATGCTACACATTCACCAAATATGGTGTCAGCTACCTCAAGTTATTATGTGGAAACCTAATTTCTATTTTCAGCAACATTGACCTTGACCTTATTCATATGCACATGGGTAGTAATTCTGAGTAGCGTCTTGTTATAAGCTACATACATGCTAAATTTAGTGTTAATAGGTCAAAGCAAACAGAAGTTATTGAGCGGAATCTTAATTTATAATTTTACCAACAGTGACCTTGACCTTGATCAAAAACATCTGGGTAGCAATCCCAACCTGCCTCTTAATATAAGCTACCAATACGCCATGTTTGGTGTCAATATGCCTAAGCAAACTCAAGTTATTGAGCAGAAACTGAATATCTTTTAGTAACAGTGACCTTGACCCTGGTCAGTGACACCGATGCAATTGTCGGTGAACAAAATGAAGTTGCCTCCCTATTACTACGTCCCAATAATTCTAATATGATATACAAATAATAAATGATCACACATTTCTAGAGCCTGGGTTTGTTTTAAGAATTAGGGCTAGCTGTACTCTATTTTCCGATGTATAGTATTATTTTTCAATGAAGAATGTAGAATGAATCGCCCAAATCATAGATAATTATATCATAGAATCGGGTTAAGCGAAAATAACATGCTTCACGTTCAAGTCAAGTTGTCGACGTCTTAGAAATACCTAAAATACCTTCAAAAATATTAAAATTTGTTAAGAAGATGTCAACCTTAAAGAGGCGGCGGCGTGGCAGAGTGGTTAACGCGTCGGACTAGTATTCTAAGGATTGCTGACCGCGTGTGTTCAAACCCTGTCAGGGGTCAAGTCGTTGTTTCCTTGAGCAAGAAACTTTACATTATTGCTCAGTACTGGTTGGTTCCAGGAACGGATTCAAGAGTGTTTCAATAGGCTTTTGGCTTCCAACGCAATCGAGCTAAACAATTGTATAAAAAAAACTTTAAAGGTATGCCCATACCAGGTGACTTCGACGTCATTTTTATGCCCCTGCCATAAAATGGCTGGGGCATATACTATTACCCTGTTTCGTCATTCCGTCCTTCCGTCATTCCTTCCTTCTGTCATTCCGTCACCACCAGTTTCCGTTCATTATCTTAGTAACGGTTGCACACAATTCAACTCAAATTTGACATGTGGATAAATCATGAGAAAATACAGGTAAAGTTTGAATTTAGTCGTGGTTTCATGATTTTTGACAGAGTTATGCCCCTTTATCAAATTTTGAGTTTCCGTTCATTATCTCCCCAACAGTGAAACACATTCAGCTCAAAATTGACATACGTCAAGTTTAAATTTGGTCACAGTTCGATAATTTTTTGGCAGAGCTATGCTCCTTTCACTTTGAAAATAATATGAAATTTTCAGGTTCCGTTCATTATCTCCCCAACAGTTGTACACATTCAATTCAAATTAAATACAATTAACCGCCTCTGTGGTCGAGGGGTTAGAGTCGATGACTTCTAATCCAGTTACCTCTCTGGCGTGGGTTCGATCCCCGGGAGATGCTTTGGTAGTTTAGCACGGAGGAAGGTAGTCTAGTACTGGTGTAACTCTCCAGGAACGATGGTTAGGAAACTACCCGCCTATATGACTGAAATACTGTTCGGAAAAGGCGTAAAATTAAACAAACAAACAAACTGAACATACAATTGATCTGTAATTTGTATATTTCCCATTTAAAATATTTATTAATCAAAACAATTAATAACCAACATTCCAAAGCTTATACAGGATAAATTCCGTTGTGAAAATTATTAATTTAAAGTTGTGTCGAATAAAAAACACACTGTATCTAAGAAAGAACATATGTCAGAATCTTCAACACAATCTGATAAACTGTGTTTATCATTTAAAACTTAGATATAAACTTTTACATTTCAACCACGAGAAAGAAATCAGAGCATTTTTACGACACAAAATATAGAAAGTACTTATACTATTAGGTATAAGTTATTAAACTTGTTTTTCAAAATAACCACTGAATGATGTCGCTTCCTCTACAGTGTCTGGCATTTTAGGGTTGCATTGCTCTATGGTCACTACATCTCCAACCTTTAATAATAAATACACCGATGTCGAAACTCCGTAACTTCCGTTGTCAGCACCATTGACCCCGTTCTGAGGATCTGTGTAAGCTCTTACTTTAGGTGATCCGTTTAGATAAATAGAACATCCGGCCCAGCTGACACTAGATATCCCCCGTTTGATGATGTGTAAAGAAAAGTAGTAAAGCCCGCTAACAGGGCATGTGAACCTGCCAGTCGATGTATCAAAACCGCTCCCTTCGTTTGTAATGACCGTTGTAAAAGACATAGATAAAAATGTAGCACCCTTCTTGGGTTTGGTCACTGTGAAAGCCACAACTTTTCCTAAAAGATGACAGAATGGTTCGGTTTTATTTATAAAACTGATACAATGATAAATTTAGAAGAATGATTTCTTGAAACATAAAATTACTTTCAAGCTGCAACATTTGAGAAAAATATATTTATGTAGATCTAATAGCGCAAAAGGCGAAAGGCATGACATTTGTCATGATTGAAGATATAAATGTAGCTACATGTACTCTGTTTATATTTTAAAAGTAACAGTATCTCAAGAATTTCTTTTGCCATAATCATCAAGGTGCCTCATGTTAACTTTTGTTATCTGCGTGTGACTGATAGCCAATACAAAAGACGGTTTACCTGAACAGGTATTTATTTCTTCTCATCAATATTTTTTCGTTTCTAATATCCGTGTGTTTGCAAATTCATACATTCACAAGATTTTTTTTATAACGGAAGAATATAATTTATTTCCCAAGAAATATCCTACGTAGGGTTAATAAACTAGAATAAGCGGACTCCACAAATATATACTCCACATGATATAATGGAACATTAAAAAAAGTCATGATGGAAAATATAACCGTCTTTTGTATTGGTTTTCTGCCACACAGGTCACGCGGTATAGATACCGGGGAACAATTGATAATAATATTTATCACATACCAGTGCAGCTTTTGTGACATCGTAAAAATTATATTTCACGGTCGTGGATATATTTTGACGAGACGTCATTTTCATTATATACTTAGCGTTAAA